ATACTAAATCAAATAATAAAACTAAAAATAAAATAAAGAAAAATAAAGAAATAGAAAATTATAGGCATGACAATATTGCATTTGTTGAATCTGTGTCTAGTTATGCAGTATAACATAATCATATGATATAAAATCAAATGATTTTCTATGATGATCATTGTAATTTTATGTAATACAACTGTAATACATGCATAATATATTTATTTTGCATTGCTTATTTTTAATTACACGAATTAGTTTAAAATTTATGATCATCGTATGTTTTTCAAATTTAATATAGAGACAAACTATAGCTTTATTGATTATTGTTAATTTAATTAAGTTCGAATAAAAATTATTTTTACTAAAAAAAAAAAAAAAAAAGGCAAAGAAATTTAAAATTGAAAAAAGAATCAGGCATGGGACATATCGAGACATGTTAAATTTGATGCATATTATAAGTGTATTGTAAACTTCAAAGTCTAGAGTCTAGTTTTTTCTAGTAATACTCATAATCTGAACTAAATCTGCGATAGTTTTTTTTCACCCTATTGTATAAGCCTCATAAATAAATACTGAATCATTTTTGAAATGAATTAATATATAACTTTTTGTAATTAGAACAGTTTAATATTTGCCGTGTATTTTTATTTATAAATTCAAATATGAGATTGGCTTCATAGACTAATTCCCAAACATAACCACTAGTAATTATGTGAGGTAAGATCTCAAAAAATACACATACTACTACAAATTTAATCACTTTTGAGGTAGTGATCTTTAACTACTGTCAAAGCAAAATGAAAATAATAAATTAATACTGTATATATTACAGTTAATTCTTGTTACTATGAACAGAAAGTTTAATAGTTTATTCTCTTAATTATATAGTAAGAAGTATATTTAAGTTTACTGAGAAAATTCTGCAAATCATATTCTGATTTTACGAATTGCACTTACTTTAGATACAACTTCTTAAACATAAGTTTTAGCAACTTAGTTTCCATTACAAATATTTCTTAAAAAGCCTACTTATTTCTATATTGAACGAAGATTAACTTTTAATTTAAAGTTTCTAGTTAGTAAATTATTAACCCAGAAATGAAAAATTTTTATCCCTATAAGAATGCCTAGAGCCATCAAGATCTGAGAAAAAAATCTATTATTTTAAACTGATAATTAGCAAAAAAGTTATTTCAGCACTCACCAAAAAAAAGATAAATCCTATATTAATTGACATGAAAGCATTTTGAATATATCAGTTGAACAACAGAAATAAATGATACTTAAATAATCTTTGAATATAAAATATTTGTGAATTAGCAACCCTCTGGAATACTACTACAGTGATGCATAATTACTCAAATTGTAACCAATTAGCGAAAGTATTCTTGAAGTAATTATATGTGCTAATTATGTTTAGACCCTAAAAATTATTATTCTATGATAGTAGAAGTAAACAAACAAACTAATTAAACTCTTTTACAGTTTAACAGCCTATCAAACTAATGAGATTTTGTAAAAAACCAATAAGATTTTGTTGTTAGTAATGTGAAAGACCAACATGAGGTTGGTTCCAATATGAAGTCAATTAGTATCTAATGATTAGTAATCATAAAAATACTAATTGACCTCACGTTAGAACCAACCTCATGTTGGCCCTTCACATTAAGGTTTAAAAAGGTCCAAAAAACAAAATTGGCAGATACATTTAAATCTCCTGAAATTAATGTATTCATAAAATTAAAAATAAAATGTGAGGGACTAACATGAGGTTGGTCTTAATATGAGAGGAATTGGTATTTTTTATGATTACAAATCATTAGATACTAATTGACCTCACATTGAGACCTACCTCATATTGGTCCCTCACAGTATAAATTAAAGTTATTTGGAATTACTTACTCAAGAATTTAAATCTGATAGTTTTGATAGTTTAATTTAAAAGCATTGTGCTATTATGACTATCATTAGTGCAATAAATGTCAAATTCGTCTTTTCGAATCTTATAGATAATTTTAAATAATTCAATATAAAAATTTGAATAATGATAAAATCTTATATTCAATTTTTAAAATATACCTCATATCAATATTATTTTTAACAAGCAAAATTTTGAAATTGATGTCATATTTAAGTAAAATTTGCATTATATACATTTTTTAAGTATATTTGCTAATCTTTCATAATATTTATATCATAATTTTTTGACCAATATATAAGAATTTTTTTTTATCATTATTTTTTTTTAACTTAATTTCTCATGCTTTAAACGAAGATTCAATACCAATACCTATAAATTTCTCTGTAATTTTTTCCTGAAAAATTCTATTATTGTTTGTTCAAGCTAGTTCCTATGATGTATTCTTGATCTTTGATCATATAATATTACCTATCAGTCACTAAAAAAAAAATTATTATGGAAATAATCTTAAATAATATATCTTATTCAGAAAATTTAAATATTAAAGTTTTAGATATCTTTGATTACATTATAAAAAGTTCGTTACTTTCAAACTACAAGTATTTTGTAGAGTCGATTGAACAAATTTCATTACATGAATTCCTAAGTGCTTATGAAAAACTTTTTAAAAGTAAATTTCACATAAATATTAAAACAATTGAAGATGTTAAACTATGGCTCCATAAATTCATAGATCTTCATAAAGTGACGATACGAGAATCTCAAGATCGCACTGTTAAAGGCATCTGTTATATTCTTTCAAAATGACTTCATTGTATTCATAGTAATATTGTGAAACTGAAACAAAGGAGAGATTTCAATTGTGAAAACAGCATAAGTAATAATATATATAGTAGGATAGAAAAAAGCAATGCTTACATAAAAAGTTCACGAATAAGGAATACGAATTGTCCAGTAACATTAAAAATCCAACTATTAAAAAAAGATGATCCCTACTCATATATCATTTACATACTTTTTCACCACAACTATCTCCTTAGATTAAGTCACATCACAAGTTTTCGTTCAGTTTCTGATGAAATAAAAGATATAATCTTCAAGCTTTATGATATTGGATATAGTTCTAATAGTGCATATCATACTTATTGGGAACAAATGCAATTAAAGTATGCAAATGATGAAGAAATGTTAGGAACAGAGCATTATTCTCACACAAAAATGATTTTAATTACCTTTATAAAAAACATCGTGACAAGCATATAGATGCTCAAAATAGAATTAACATGTTTAGTCAGTTAGAAGAGAAGATTAAAAAATTTAATATTAATGGAAAAGGAGACGTATAGATGCAAAAATTTATTACATCAAACCAAAGTAATTCTGAACAACCCTTTATTCTTGTTGTTGTAACAAATCTTATGAAGTATTACCATGAGTTACAAGAAGCAGAAAAGTTGGTATATATGGATACAACAGCTAAACTTGACATTCTTAATACCCTTCTGACAATTCTTTCTACTAGTACACCTGCTAGTGGTCTACCACTTGCTGCTATTCTTACATATGATGAAACAGTAGCTACTTTCACAAAGGCATTAGATGTAGTAAAAAAGATAGTTCCATCAGTAGTATTTAGTAGACAGAGATCTATTATTGGACCACAGGTAGTTATGACGGATGATTATAGAGCAGAAAAATTAGCATTGCATAATACCTGGCCAAATGCAACTTTGCTTCTTTGTGTATTTCATTTTTTGCAGGCCATGTGGAGGTAGCTTTGGGACAGTAAGCATGGTATTCATAATAACGACTGTTCAATTTTAATCGGACATGTAAAAAAAATAGTTTTTGCAAAAACAGAAATTGCTCTAAATATAGCATATTCAGACTTAATTAAGAGTAATGTTTATCAAAAATATCCAACTTTTCAAAATCACTTTAAAATTTCTTGAGAATGTTATTGTGAATAGGCTATTGCATTTCGCCAACTGCTTTTAATTCGTAATAATCATACCAACAACTTCACTGAGGCTGGAATTAAAATAATAAAAGAAATTATTTTTAAATAGATTCAAGCATATAATGTAATTCAAATTTTTCAGTTCTTTATAAATACTATGGATCTTTATTATGTTCACAGATTGTTGGTGGTGGCTTATAACAAATTAGATAATTTTATTACTCTTCACTTTGAACTTTCTGAGTGGTTAATTAGAATGAAAGATAATATAGAAGTTGTAGATCTAGATTCACAGGTATATAGACATAGGAGTTGTAAAAATTCATGTATATGGTATCTTGTAGACATGAGACTAGAAACGTGTGAATGTAATCTAATGGGAGGACCTTGTATACATCAGGCTTCTATAGCTAAACATTATAAAGTATGTAGATTAAATCAAATACCTATAACATCTGTAGAAAAAAGATATGACTACACTTACTTAACACTAGATGAAAAGTACAAGTCTCTTAGCTTTTATACTGATCTTTATTAAGAAAAACTTGAAAAAGAACAAGGAAGTAAAATGGTCAATAAGAAGCAAAAATTCGAAAAATTTTTAGTTAGCAATATAAATAAAAATAAGTCAGATAGTTCTGATGATGAGAATATATTTATTTTATCAGAGGTAGTTGATAGTAATAATAGTATTAATAATAGTGATAGTATAAATAGCAATAGCAATGATGACAGTGATAGTGTAAATAGTAATAGCAATGATGGTATTAATGAAAATGATGAAAATGGTAATGGCAATGATGGTATTAATGAAAATGATGAAAATGCAATAGATAAACTTCGTTGGTTTTGCAGTGATCTAAAGAATCTCCTGAAACAAAATGATTCTATATTAAATAATAGTGTTCATAAGTTTGTCAAATCATATAAATGATATAGGGATATAAAAGATACTTATGTTCGTCCAGCTGTCACTTCTTTTCTTCATACCTGTAATAGAGATTCAGGTCGAATTAATGGTAAAAGTTATTGACGTAGTAGAAAAAGAATAAGAGTTCAGGTCACTGCTTCTTTACGACGTAAAAAAGATTTAATTAGTAGTCACAAGGAAGTATATCAAGAGGAACAAAAAGAAAATTCGCAAGTTAATAATATCAAAATGCAAGAAGTTGATTATTCTCTTATGTCAGCACAGAAAAAACATCAAAAAAAATATCTACATAACTTAAACCAAGCTATTTTAAAGAATATACCTAATGGCACAAATTAGACCATAGGTTAAATATTGAAGCATTAAGATGTAATCTGGTAAAGGTAATGGTTTAATTTTTAATAAAAATTTTTTAAACATTTTTCTCTTGCTAATACAATTTAATATTACTACAACTAGAATGTCTTTTTTTTACTAAACAATATCAGGATATATTATTCTCAGTGAAAAAAATTTAACATTTTAAAATTTTTATTTTTTATTTGCTATGCATTATCATATTATACAAACTAAGTTTTTGCGAAAATGTTTTTTAACAGAAAAAAATTATGATAAAAATATGAAATTTCTAGTTCTTTTTTTTTAGAAAAAATATATACTCGATTTGTTAAGTAAAAAAAATTTGTCTTTTTACGTGTTTCAATTACTTTTGCTCGTTAATTAAAAATTAAAATCAAAGTCATTAAATTCAAAGTAGATCGATTTTATTATTACACAGGTATTAGATTATAGTTACATTGCATCAAATTAAAGTGAACATAGTCATATGATAGAAAATCAAATAATTTTCTGCCTATATCGATGTTATACTGCATAACTAGACACAGATTCAACAAATATGACAATATTGTTTGTAGAGTATTAGTATAAACTTTATACTGTATTGTTATTATTATTATTATTTTTTTATATTATACTAATAAAGAATAATTAAAAATTTGAGAACTTAACTCTGCTATTTATACTTTACTTTAATGTTTTGAGCTTCTCAAGAATACTTGTAATACATATTATATTAAGTTTAATAAACCTATTCTAGATTATTCTACTAAATAAAATCTATTTATAATATAATAAAAAATGAATTATATATATATATATATATATATTTTTTTTTTTTTTTTTTTTTTTTTTTTTACTTTATACAAATGCTATCAGCTGAAACTTTTATTGGTATTGATAGTGAGTAAATGATACATATTGTAAGCGTACAACTAGTTATATGTATAACTTTAGATTGTCTAATTTAAGTAGTCTACCTGAAGGTTCTACACTAGCTGCTATACTTGTAATCTATTTGAAAATTAACTATTTAAACTCTCTGGCCCTATGATACTTACCTATATTCTATTTTTCTTTTACCAAAGTTTGCTTAACCCTGTGCTACTTCTCTTTTTAGAAGATATCTGAGCTGATATTAGTCTACAAACTTCATGATTCAAAGCCTAGGCTCTATCTCAAGGTACCTCTTCATCAACTCTCTAATCGATAGAGTGCTGTAGTACCCAACTATGCTATACTATATTTCAATTTAGCTTGCATATACCCTTGTTTGATATTTGTACAAATTCAGTTCCTACTGTAGCTTTCCACTAAGTTAGTTATCTGTGCCTCCAGATATCATATGAGATAGGCCTTCCTAAATCTGGTTACCACCCAAATTAGTGTTGCCAAAAGTTATCTGTATCTCCAAATATTATACAGAACAGATTCTCTCAAATCTAGTTAGCTGCTAAGCTAAGTTGGTATTACTATATGACCTCATATAACAGACTTATATATACTCATTCTATTAATCTTTTTGTATACAGGTTTTCTAACAGACTTACTCACATCCTAGTTGCTGATCTTTTCAAATGCAGATTTTCCTTCCCAGATCAAACATTAACTAGTATGACTGTTAAAATCTGTACTACTTCATCTAACTCAGGATTTCTGCCATGCAAATCCTCTGTCTGTAGATCTTATCAAGATTTATTCATGTAATATTATATTCTTCAGACATTTCATCATACTTCCAATATCTGAATAATATTGGTGTAATGTGATTTATAGGGTTACAACTTTCAGAAACAGATAGAGTTTACTATAAGTTGGATATAGATGTCTAGGTAATTATTCAATTCTGTTGATAGTAGAATTTGAACTCTAAACCTCTTGTATAGTGGTCTAACAACCTAACTACTACACTAATATTACTGGACCTTATGAATTATATCTTAAACTAGTAGATTTGTATTTTAATACAAAAGTGCTACCAAATTAAAACCTAAAACTAAATATATAATTATTATATATTAAGTTTTAGGTTTAATTTAGCAATATTTATATAAGATTTTTGTTAACAAAATGATCTTTTGAAACTATATTTTACATAGTTCTAAAAGGTTATTTTGTTAGCAAAAATTTTATATAGTTAGATATTTAGAGATATAAATTCTAATAAATCTATAAGTATTTAATAGTCTTACTAGCTTTCATAATCTTTATAACTATACTATTTTATATAATCAATGATTCATATTGTTACAAGTGTCGGCCTTCTTGATTCAACACAAGTAACATAAGACATGGAAGAGGGGCTCTCAACAGTGTCCAAGTGGAATATTACTTCACTGTGGCAGTTTGTTACAAAGTTAATGAAAGAGCAAAGATTATACTTTATTTA